AGTGCTGCATTTAACCACTGCGCCACCTCAGCTCTAAGACTTATATACCGCTTCATAGGGCTCTCAGCCCTCTCTAAGTGGTTTACAGAGTCAGCATATTGCCCCCCAAAACAATCCGGGTCTTCATTTTACCCACCTCAGAAGGATGGAAGGCTGAGTCAACCCTGAGCCAGTGAGATTTGAACAGCCGAATTGCAGAACTGCAGTCAGCTGAAGTAGCCTGCAGTGCTGCACTCTAACCACTGCGCCTCCTCGGTTGGACTAGAAGATCTCCCAGGTGTCTTCCGTCTCTGTGGTTCTGTTCTTGTTTTAAGACGAAAGAAATCAGCCACCTTATTTGGTAGTGTGGTAGTGTGTAAAGTATTTTCCCTTCCCATGCATCCTGGCTCTGATCTAATTTGTTGTTGACAATTTCATTAAACATGGGGATGAACATTTTGCCATAAATCTGTTGTCTACGGTGGGCAATTAAATAAAAAGAAGCTAACCTAATCCTTAAGTGGGGTATCCAATATCCATCATAAACAATTTGCTCCTAAATGATATAATATTTGAAACAGACTTGGTGAATTTCTGCCTTAAGCGTGAGTGATGAGTGAAGATCTGAGAATACGATACCAGAAATCATAGAATCCGATAACTCATGAGTTTCTTTCCGTCTCCAGGGATATTTTTATAAAGACAAATCTCCATGATCAAATCCTGTCCGGCAGCAAGAGGAATGCAGTGTTAAATTCTTCACTTAGTTTCCAGGACCTAGGAAACAAGTAGCTTTTTTATTCCCCTGCTACTCTCCTGGTGCTAAGCTTGGAAGTCAGATCTTCAGCTTTCATCCCCCTCCTTAGGGCATTTTAGCACTTGTATGTCTTGTAATCCATCATTCGCTAAATAATTAATTTACTCATGTAAAAGAGGATCTCGTGAGGTTTGCGGCTTCTAAGGATGTGGCGTTGGCACAGTTGTTATGCTATTCCACTTGGGAGTAAGGAAAAAAAGGAGAAAAAAATTGAAGAAAAAAGAAAGAAAGAAAGAAAGAAAGAAAGGGGAAGGGAGGGAGGGAAAAAAGGAGGGAAAGAGGAAGATAGGAGAGTAGGAATGAAGAGAGAAGGAAGGAAAGAGGAGAGGAAAGAAGGAAAGGAAGAGAGAAGGAAGAAAGTGTTGAAAGAAATGTCCTTTTGGGTTCAGCTCCAAGTGGAGAAGAAGACACTGGAGACATGGAGGCTGCTTGGAAAGA